ATTTTAAAATAAAAAAAAATATATATAAACAGGCCATATTTGCACCAAATATTCTAGTAAATTTATTTATTTTACTATTTAATTTTGTATGAAGGTTATTGTTAAAATATCCAATGAACAGTGAGCGATTCTTGATTAATGTTAGTAAATGTATACAAAAATATATTAAATTTTTGTTTTTTAAAAATATATAAAATATTTATTATAATAATAATTATTATTAAATCAGTTGCCAAAATGTGAAAATTACGTGCTTTTACTCCGAAAACTTGTTGAATATGAGAAGTTAAAATATCCAATGAAAGCAAGTGATTGTTAATTAATGTTAGTAAATCTATAAAAACAAATAAATTTTTGTTTTCTAAAAATATATAAAATATTTCTTCTTATTATTATTTTTATATTATCAAATCACTATCGTTGCCAAAATGTCAAAATCACATTTCTCTGCAAACTCATTGAATATGAGAAGTTATTTGATGGTTCCCGAGTATAGTTACGAGGTGTTCAAGATATATTATGCCTCCGTTTAAGAAGTGGGTTGGCTTTTTGACTTTTTGACTATTTTAGTCTGGGCTTAAAAGTTTGGTTTGTGAAGGATTTTTTGGTTTTTTAACTTTTTTGAGTTTTTTTGTGAGAGAAGAATGTAATGATTATGGGTTGGATGCGATGTTTTGTTTATTATGACTAAAATAACTTATTTTATTTTTTGTGACTAAAATAACCAAAAAAGCTCAAACCATGGCTTCCCAAACGAAGCCTATGATTGATAAAAGGAGTAAAGCTCTCGACTTTGTTTGGGACATGGCAAAACAACAGGACATGGTACACCTTGCAATTGCAGAGTCAGAAATTCAAGATAGAAAGGCACATATTTATTTTAAAATTTGTTTTTCCCATAACAAATAATAACAAGATATTATTAATATTAAGCATTTTTCTAATACAATATTACAATTGTCATTGTCATGAGACTGAGATCATAGATTATAAATTCACAATCAACAATCCAACTAAATTTATAATTAACAAGCTCAAACTTATCAACTCAACAAAAAAGAAATAACCAACCAAAAAAATCCCATAATGAGAAAAAAAAAAATGATCAATTGATTATTGCCCTTGATTTCTCAATTAAAAAGTATATAAGAATGGTCAAAATAATATAACAGTGAGTGAAGGTTAAAATAAAAATTATTTAATTTTGTGTGAAGGTTATTGTTAAAATATCCAATGAACAGTGAGTGATTGTTAATTAATGTTAGTAAATGTACACAAAAATATATTAATTTTTTGTTTTTTAAAAATATATAAAATATTTATTATTATTATTAAATATCGTTGTCAAAATGTCCAAATCGCGTGCTTTTACTCCGAAAACTTGTTGAATATGAGAAGTTAAAATATCCAATAATGTTAGTAAGGTTTTATTTGTCAATTATATATTTTAGTCAAAAAATTAAAAATTATTATAAGTTATTATATTATTTTATATATTTTTTTGTATATATATATATATTATAAAAAGTCAAAAAATTAATAAAATAATCTATTCTCAAATGAGGCCTAAATATATAAAAAAATAAAATTTTGTTTTTTAAAAATATATAAAATATTTCTTATTATTAGTATTTTTATATTATTAAATCATGTCGTTGCCAAAATGTCACGTTTCTCCGAAAGCTTATGAGAAGTCATTTGATGGTTCCGGAGTAGCCACGTAATGTTCAAGATATATTTATTGTGTTTGATTTTAATTTTTTGAAAAATTTATTTTTAATTTTTTATATATAGTTTTTTGTTTTTAGTAAATATTTTTAAAATTTTAAGCAATTTTTTTATAACTTTTTTAGATACACATTACTTAAATATATTTAAAAAGTAAAATATTTTAAAAAATCAATAAATACATAAGAATACGGAAAATATATTGAATTTTCATGTTTTATTTATTTATTTATATTTTTGGTATTTAGTAAATTTTTTTAAAATAATTTTCACAAATATTATACATTTTTAGTATATTTATGTTAGATGTATCTAAAAATTAAAATATTGCTTAAAATATACAAAAAATATGAAAAATACAAATTGTAATTTCTAAAAAATAAATCCTCAGTTATGAAACCAAATGAAATGATTAATAAAAAGAATAAAGCTCACAACTTTGTGCAGGGCATGGCGAAACAAAAGGACATTGTGCACCTTGGTAATGGCGGAGCTAGAAATTCAAGGTAGAAAGGTACATATTTATTTTAAAATTTGTTCTTCCCATAATAAATAATAACAAGATATTATTAATATTAAGCATTTTTTCTAATACAATATTACAATTGTCACAAGACTTAGATCATGGATTATAAATTCACAATCAACAATCCAATTGAATTTATAATTAACAAGTTCAATCGTATCAACTCAATAAAAAAGAAATAACCAACCAAAAAATCTCATAATGAGAAAAAAAAAAAGATCAATTGATTATTCCCCATGATTTCTCAATTAAAAAGTGTATAGGAATGACTAAAATAATATAAGAGGATATTTTTTTAATTTTAAAATGTAAAAGCATTTCATATCATTTAAGAAAGGGTATTATTATAATTTTAAGATAAATAACACATAATATTTAAAATAAATTATACTAACCTCTATTAAGATTTTAAAAATATATATATATAATAACATATGTAGTTAGACACATTTTGTTGGGTTGTTTCATTGGTAATATGACACATTTTGAATAAATAATAAAAAGAAAAAATTGGTAACATGACACATACGTCATGTTTGTTTAGCGGAGTAGGAACCGGGTTGGATTAGTGCGGGTGTGGGTCACACTTATATCTTGTCTGGTGATGATTTATGAAGGGGGATTAACTGTGAGGGGCATAGTAATCTCCCTAAGGGGGATTAGCTTAGCTGAATTTTGGGTATGATTAAAAAATTAATGAGTGGATTGATTATATTTTATATAAAAAACATCATTTTTTTAATTTTATTCTTTTATCAAGTGCACCTGTTCATTTTAATATTTATTTTAGTTTTTTTTTAATATAGAAATAAATTTTTTATTTATTTTATATAAAAATAATTTAACAATTCTATTACTAATCATCTCCCACATTATTATCAAAATAAACACATTTTTATTTAATTCCTTCACTAACAATTCCCATATTAATAATTTTTTTCCTAATTATTCTCTTACTAACAATCTCATCTAATCTAATCTGCTAGACAAATATGTTCATACTCTTCTATAAAAAGAGAAAAATTATTCTTGAGAATCTATTGGATTGGCCAACAAAGATGTAACGATTATACACAAATGGTAGTTGGCAGCTCTGACTTGGATAGTTCAAAAGTTTATTTGTCTCGTGCAATGATTTTTTTTGTTGTTTTTAATCGGTCATGTAATGTTCATATCTATGTAATTATCAAGTGTGTAATGGGTTGGGCCGGAGAGAAAAATTCACACGTCATAAGTGAATTGTACAAATGGTGCTACTGTTTGGGGAGTGTACACTTGAGGTGGGATACACAGTGAGGTTACGGGTGATCTACAAACAGTGAGGATTTGTGGTGTAGCAGTGTATCTTTGTGGCGGTGTGGGGTTAAGAACAATAAAATTATGAGAGGTGTGGGAAAATATTAAGAAATTGTATGTATCTCACCATTATAATTGTTTCATTGTAACAGTGTATTTTATTTTATTTCTTTGTGATCATTCTATTTAGGAGTGTTTGCGGTTCGATTTTAGATAGTTTGTGAATCGGTTTGAACCCACCGATATGTATGTAATTTGGGAAAAATTCAACCAGTAACTGCCCACAGTACAGGTTGCAATTTGTGCCGATAAGATTCGCGAATGTGCGGGCAGTTTACAGATTAGATTTTTTTCAATTTTCAGGCTTCATTTGGCAAGTGACACTACAAGAATCTGCACTTTTAGCGACCACTTTTCGCGACCAATATAAAAGTTGGTAGCTAAAAGTTACCTTTTGACGATCAAATATTTATTAGTCGCGAATGATCATTATTTTTGGCGACCAATATGAGTTGGTCGCAGAAGGTCCTATTTTGGCGACCAAAAAATGAGTTGGTCGCAGAAAGTGATATGCTTTTGGCGACCAACTATAAATTTGGTCGCGGAAGGTCACTTTTTTGCGACCAAAAAATAAGTTGGTCGTGGAAGATCAAAAATAAGTTGGTTGTGGAATTGGTGACCAAAATTTTAGTCGCCAAAAACTTATTTTTTCCGACCACAAAATACTTTAGTTGCCGAATGGAAATAAAAAATTAGTTTTTTCTTTGGCGACCAAAAATTTGGTCGCCAAAAACTTATTTTCAACAACCAAAAAAAAATTAGTCGCCAAATTAGTACTTTTAGCGACTAATATTTTTGTCGCTGTTGATTGAGATTTGGCGACTAAAAACGTTTGGCGGCGAAGGTACCTTTTCTGCAACTAATTTAGTCTTTTGGTCACCAAAAATTTGGGAGGAAAATTTGAAACGTGGAGGCGGGAATTTGAAATTCGCCATTGCCCTCTGTCTTTCTCTCACACAGATCCTCAGACCACACTCGACCTACGACCACATTGATCTCTCGTTGATCCTCATATCCTCAGACCACACTCGCTATAAGGAGACTCTGAAATGTGTCCGTATACGCAAAGTAAGATCGTTTTACAGTTGATCCAATAACCATCCATATAAAATATCTCCCGCTCTTACTCTCTCTCTCTCTGAAATTTTTTTGAGTGCAACAGTCCATCTCTTCTCCACTTGCCCTTCATCAATCGGCAATCTCTAACAAATTCACAGTGCCTCTTCTTCTCAACTCTCACGATCTCTGAACTTTGTCACCAACAGTCAACTCTCCCTCTCTCTCAATTGCATTCTCATGCTTTTGTTGTCATGTTCTTGTTCTCATTCTCAATCGATTGATCTTTCACTCTCACCCTCACTTTATCTCAAACAATCAGATGAGGATAGAGATATTGGAATCCACTCTCCCGTCCTGATCTTCTTCACTCACATCCCAGACAATCTTGATGTGGCGAACTCACTTAAAAGATTAGCATCTCGGTCTTCTTGGACGATCATAAGGTGATTTCAAACCATTTTTTTACTGAATATGTACATTTTTTTAAAAGCCCCAACTTAAATTGATTGTGTATGTACATTTTTTTAAAAGCAAAACTTTAATAACAAAGGATTTGTGTTTTTTGTTTTTTGTTTTTTTTTCTTGCCTTCAAATTGTTTGATAAAATGTCTGGAAAGAAAACTGTTTCCTCTGCTGGTTCTGTTACTAAATTGGAAATGAATAGCATGTAATTTATAGTGCAGGGTCTGGATTAAAACCTCTTAATCTTGCTACCTTAACAACTCATTTCTGGCTAACGCGTGGTATACTGCTCTGTTGGTTTTTTAAAAAAGTCTAAGGAATTCAAATTATGATCAGGATTAAGTTTTTTATTTATCTGTTTTTATGATGAAGTTTTTAGTATCGCTACTTTGAGCTTTGGTATTTTTGTAGTTGACAGCTACTTATCATTTCTTTTGACAGGAGCACTATGTCATTGATATGCTTTGGGCGGTTCTCAAGAATTTTTCCATGGAAAATCAGATGAAATTTTTGAAGTAAGTTTATCACCTATAATTTATTTCCTAAACTCTCTGATGTGTGGGTTATATATAATGTTATACTTGGTGCAACAGTTTCATGGCAGTCACTGTTAAAACCTATCACCTACTTCACCCACTTAAACCTACTCCACTAAACCTAACCCACTACACCACTACCACCTCACCTACTCCACTAAACCTAACCCACTACACCACTACCACCTCCACTTCACCTACTCCTTACCTACTACACACTCACCCTCTTCTATATATAGGAATCATGAATCATTGTAATATATATCAATAAATATGAATCAATAATACAATCATTTCTCTTTATACATTAAATTTCTACAGTCACAATGTATTCAGATATGTTCTTAGTGTATATCCTTAGAACCAAATCCAATTTATACTCCTTTTACATGTTTGTTTTCTCAGCTTTGTCTCTTTCTGTTAATTCTTTTTTTTTTTTTTGTCCAAGTATATTATCTATGTGCTTTTCTTTGCGACTGATTCAATCTGGGGAAACCAAAAAAACAATTGGGATAAAACTTTTCTGAGTTGGTATGTTGACTTGAGTCTATTTCTGTGGAATTGCTAAGTTAGTAAATTGACGGTACTTGATTTACATAAATAACTCTGAATGGTAAATTGGAGATGAAAATTGTTTTAAATTTGAAACTGTCCATGGTAAAAGTGGTTAAGCATGTTTATGGTGGTGATCAATGTTTACACTAGGAACTTCAATTTACTGAGGGTTAGAAAATATATAGGAAATGGAAGTGGAAAACTTAGCCCAAGAGATTTTGAGCCTTTGTGTAAAGAGTATTTTTTACCCCTTCTGTTAATTTTTTTTTCTTTGTATTTGTTAGCATTGTCTTCATGCTTTTCGATAATAATGTTTGGCTTTTATTTATAAAAACATAAAGAAAAATCATTCATAGATTTTTGGGGGCTGTAGTCACGTAACATTTTGTTTATGGGAGACTCTCAACAAGAGTTTTTTTTTGCATTGCCAGCTATCTTTAAAAATTTCATGCTTTTAGAGTTGAGATTTCAAGGTTCCCCTTAAAAAGTGTCCATTCATTCATCGAATTGCTTACAGACTAGCAATACAATTCTTTTGATGCCTCAAGTAATTGAGCTAGAATTGAGAACCCCAATGTCAATTTTTAGACCCAATTTCAGCCTCATTTCCTTTAGCCAATTGGTGTCTTAATAAGTTCCAGTGTTTACTGGAGGTGCCAAAATGAGAAACTCACATTTATGGGACTGTGGATGAGATGCTATGTATGGTGAATTTGTATAAGTGTATGCAGGGCATTTCATTTTCTATATGTCGACTTCTAACTTTCTCTTCAAAAGGAATCCTTGTTTCGTAATTTCCAGTATTTGTGATGCACCAACAATACTAAATGTTTATTGTATTGTTTTTTCAACTTGAATAGCAGATTTGTAGCTAGACTAAGGGCTCCAACAGTAAATACCCTTCTTGGCCACGAAGAAGTAGGTGTATTCTTCAAAACTAATCATAAGGGCTCTGAGTAGTTTGCTGACATGCTGAGTGTGTGCATCATCCTTGTGTTATTTTCGAACCAATTTTGAAATGTTTTAGCAATTCTCTTTCATGTTGTATGACATTTTAAAAAAAAAAAAATTATTCCACTGGACTTGAGGTGAATTGGTTCATGAATTTGCTCAAATAAAAGTTGAGCGCTTTAAACATTTTGCCAAGATACATGGCACTCTCCATGTAGTCATGTAGTTTATGTAGGTAGCTGTTAGGGCTTCAAGATCTTCTGGATGGAACGGTAACCAAATATCTTTGTTTTCTTTTTTGGTAGGCATGGAAGGAAAGGAACAAGAAGCTCTACAAGAACACATTCCGGGATGCTAAGACAATCATAGAAGAAATAGTGACAACCATTACATCTCGCCTTTGCCTAGCAAAAGGAATCAAGCACACTCACAAACTAACAAGTGGATTCAGCAAGAATGGAACCTACCAGACTCCACATTCTGTAATCTTTTGTAATTCACTACTCTTTGAGATCATGTCTTGTCCTAGAATAAGATGCCTTATGGTTTTCAACCTCGGCTTTGTTATTCATTTCTTGTGGAACTTATTGATCAAAGATAGACCTATCTTATCCAATGTGCTTGGATTTTATTCTCATTACTAGTGAAATTTGTTAATTATTGTTCCTTAATTGTGGTTGGGTTGAATGAATTTTGTTCGATATTGGATTGAATATTTATAAACAAAAATTTATTGTTCTAAGAAAAAAAAAGAAAGAAAAGATTTGGCGACTAAAAAATTGGTCGGCAAATTATACAGTTTTGCGACTAAAATCATTGGTCGGCAATTCCTTACCTTTTGGCGACTAAATTGTTAGTCGGCGATTCCTTGACTTTTGGCGACCAAACTTTTTGGTCGTGCAATGTGACAATTGGCGACTAAGATATTTGGTCGGGAAAATATCACTTTCCGCGACAAAATGGATTAGTCGCAGTAATGACATATTTAGCGACCAAAAATTTAGTCGGCAAATCCTACTTTTCCCGACCAACAAAATTTTGGTCGCGAATTATTTTTGCCGACCCTCAATTGGCGACCAAAGAAGCGACCAAAAAAATTGGTCGCGGATAACTTTTGCCGACCAAAAATGGACTTTTAGCGACCAATTTTTTGGTCGGCAAATGTGTTATTTCTTGTAGTGTGACTTTTTTAGCCAAAAAGTCAAAAAATCATTAAAAAAATTAAAAAGTTAATAATCTATACAAAAAAGTCAAAGATTCTATTTTCTCTCTACTTTTTACACATCTTTTCTCAAAAAATCAAAAAGTCATTCCAAACATACTAATTTTTTTACATCATATTTTAGCTAAAAATTCAAAAAATTACTAAAAAAGTCTGTTCCCAAATAAGGCTAGATTCAATTTCAATTTCTAGATTCAATATAATATAAGATTGATTTCAACTTCAAAAGTAATTAACAGATTCAACTTCAATAGTAATTAATCGAATATCAATAGCTTCACGATCAAATCGCCTTTTCTTCTGAAAAAATAAACAGTCAATTTTGAAAATGATATATGCCATTTATTTTTCAGAGAAAAATCTAATTCAATTGTATAATTAGTAATATTCGATTAATTTAATTTTTTAATATAGATATTTACTCAACAAGTTTTATAAATTAACGGTTCAGATCATGAAAGTGGATTATGAGTGGGGCCAGCGTGGACAAATTGTGGCATTCCACTTTTGTGAATTGCAGAGCAATTATTTCTTAATTTTTCTACCCTTTTTTTTGAAGGCACTCTGGTGTGGAACTCTCACACACAGAGTGTGAACCCCACACCATGTAGGAGAATGTATAAAGTAATATGTTAAAAAAGAAAAAAAAATACCTATATATTGTTTTCTTTTCTAAAATATATGTTGCTGTAAAGAAGAAATCCAAAAATAACTTGAAAACAAATTTTCTCCATTTTCTTAGAAACAAAAAAATAAAAATAAAAAGGACACTAAACTTGTCAGCCAAGAAAAATACAACACTTTTTTTTAACTAAGAAAAATACAACACTTGCCTACCACAGAATAAAATAGAAGAGAAAATGAACTTCTCTATTATACAGGGGTATTTTGAGAATTTGATTAAAAGTCATCTTTTAACTTTTAACCTATTTTAGGTCATATCATCTCTCATATTTTTTATATATTTAAAAAAAAAGAAATTCAAAAAAATTAAAAAAACTAATTTTTAATCATCTTCTCAAAATAGCCTATAATTGGAATAAAAAATTTCATAATATGTAAATTGGGTAAGTTTCACCCGTTTCTCACTTTAGCCCTTTAAGTTTTATTTTTTCCACTTTGGCACTTCATGTTTGAAATCCTCTCCAGTTTACTCCTAGACTAACTTCCATCCAAAAAATTAACAGAATTTGCCATGTCAACAACACATCAACTCCATGTCAATTTCAAAATTTAAGTTTCTTTTCCCATTTTGGACCCTTAAGTTTAGGATGTTTCCCATATTAACCCTTTAACTATATGATCTTTATTAAATTACACCAACGTCTGGAGAGAATTTTTCCCGCCAAAACTAAGGGCCATCTTATTTATATAAGGTCAAATTATGTATTTTTTTAAAAAAAAAAATTCTAATAATTTTAAAATATTTAAATGCACAAAATTTAAATATTTGTGAATAAAATTTTAAAAAATTCACTAAAGATGCAAAAAATTAAAAAAAAATAGAATTTAATAACTGGAATGGAAGATCAAAACTAATCATACCCATATCTCTAACGTGTCATGCAAATCATAAACACAATAAAGTATGCCACTGTTTGTCTAAAAAAAAAAGCTACCCAATTCCAAACAAAGTACTAAGCCTTAAAATATATCCCAATCTAAAAAAGCTAAGTAAAGAAAACAAACAAATCATGGCTGATTGGATCTAGGGTCCCCATTGGCATTGCCCATTGACAATATACATTCTTCCAATAATAGGAGGCCTTAAGGGTGGCATGGGTTGTGTAGTCCTCATTGGTAACCCTGTTGCAGGTGCTCTAAATTGTGTATGAGATGGACCCCCAAACGATGTAGGAGCAAGATCTCTAACTAATGTTGAAGCAAAGCCTCTAATTGGAGCAGGTCCTCTCAATGGAGTTGGGCCTCTAATTGTTGCAGATCCTCTTACTGATGTAGAACCTCTGACAGTTGCATGCCTTCTAACTTTAGGTGATGATGCTTACATAAAACCTGGTGCAGCTAAATTGATGTTAGAGCTGATTGAGCTCTGTTATGAATTGTTTGTTTGTTGCTCGCATTGTTGCTTCACATAAACCAATTGTTAAAAAATATTAAACAATATTAGAAAATATTGAACCATGTTAGAAAATATTATACCTTGTCTCTGGTATTCCTTTTTCTACTTTCCCCTTGTACACTTGTTTCAGATTTGCATGTTCTCTTGTTGTGACCTGAGTTCCCACACTTTGTGCATTTCAATGATGTTTGGTATTTCCTCAACTTGGTAGGCTACTTGGGTTGCTTATCTGGTTCTCTTATCCTAATCTTTGTTGGCCTTCCAGGCTTTCTAGAATACTTGAGTGGCTTGATTTTTGGAAGACCTATTTTGACCCACATGTCTTGCTCATTCATTGGATATATAATGGGGTTATGTGCTCTCAAGTATGTATCCTTTCTATACCAATGATCCACAAAAGCTTATGGTTCCTTATAACAATTCCACATTACTGCCACTGTATGTGCACATAGGATCCTAGTCAGATCCCATCTCCTACATGAACAAGTTTTAGTATCCAAATCAACCACAAATTGGTCCCCAAAAATCCCTCTTACTTCAAACATTCTTTGACTAGTCAATGAAGGAATGTAGGAGTTGGATAAGTTTGTTCTTCTCTAAAATCTTACGAATTTTAGGCCCAATATCATCATTCCACTTCATAGCCAATTCTCTCTTCATTCTCATCATTTCCATCAAATAAACTCTAATTCTCTCCAACATTGTTAAAATAGGCATTCCGCTAGCATGAACTATTTTAGCATTAAAGGACTCACACAAGTTATTGCATAACATGTCACACTTAGTCAATGTCCTAACGTGTGACCTGCACCAATACATTGGTGGCTTCTTAGCCAACCACTTAAAAGCCTCTTCATCATAATCTTGAAGCTCTTCTATAAGAGCTTGAAACCTACCCATATGACTTGCCTTTGCTATATCCCACATCCTATCTTTCAGTGCGGTGTGACTAGCACCTTTGAAGTTGTTGTGCAAATGCCTAAAACAATGCCTATGTTCCACTCCTGGTAGTAACTTTGCAATTGCAACCTCTAACCCTTGTATAAAACATGAAACAAATCTCAAAATCTATTATGTCAAAGTGTGTTATGTAAACAAAATAAGTACAAAACTTACCTCCTGCTTGTATGTAATTAAGGTCCACTTTTGTTGCTCTATTATACCAACATCTTGGATCAAACTTTGAATAAACCACTTCCAGTTACTGATGCACTCCACCTCAACCATGGCATATGCAATAGGAAAAATTTGGTTATTGGCATCAATGCCAATAGCTGCGAGCCATTGGCCCCCATGTGGCCCCTTCAAGTGACACCCATCAAGTCCAATTACAGGCCTACATCCCTCCATGAATCCCCTCTTGCATGCTTCAAAACAAATATAAATTTTGTTAAACATATCGTCCTCCCCCCTTTAATTGAAGGCTTTAAGTCTACAAAGATTACGGTGCCTGGATTACTTCTCCACTTCTTCACAATAGTCCCATATTTTACCAAATTGATCTGATACATCCCCATTGATCCTTTTAAGTGCCTTGGCTCTTGCTCTATAAACTTGACTAGAAGACACCTTACAATTATAGTCAAACTTGATTTTCTCTACACTACTACAAAAATAGTTAAAGATCACACTTTGACCCCAAAAAAAAAAAAAATCTCACTTTTTTTTATTGAAAGTGTGATAAAAAAAAAATTAGATTGATATTTTAATCACACTTAATTTGATTGAGTGTGATAATATTTATTTTTTATGTCACTTTTCAATTAAGTGTGATTATATATATATTTTTAATTACACCTTCTAATTAAAGTGTGATTATATATACACTACTACTTTTTAATCACACTTTTTAAATAACTGTGAATATATATATATATATATATATTAATCACACATTCTAATTAAAGTGTGATTATTTTTATATTTTTTAATCACACCTTCTAATTAAAGTGTGATTATATATACATTACTACTTTTTAAATAAGTGTGATTATATATATATATTTAATCAAGGCGATATTGATTGCTGATTGTCTGTTAATTTCTTCCTAATCGTTCTCTATTTTGTCTGTTAATCTGATTTCAGTCGTCTTAATCTGTCCAAAATTATATCTGTTCTTCCACTTTGGAACTAGCCACCTAGCCTTCGTCCCAATCCTTGGTAAGTCCTTTGGTTAGGCAGTATTGAAATTTAAGGGTCAACCGAAATAGTTATGTGTGAAGCCAGAGTACCACTTTGGAACTAGCCACCTAGCCTTCGTCCCAATCCTTGGTAAGTCCTTTGGTTAGGCAGTATTGAAATTTAAGGGTCAACCGAAATAGTTATGTGTGAAGCCAGAGTACGTGAAAACATGATAAATTTAGACAAT